GGGTTCGTCGCGAACCCAGGCGCTGGGTTCATCTCGGAACCCAAGCGCAGGGTTCGTCGCGAATTCAGCTCCTGGGTTCGTAGATGAGGGATTTTCGGTAAAGATTTTCTGTTTGTTTCTCTGACTGGATGAGGAAGAATTTTCTGTTTGAGGGAGAATTTTTGTTTGTTTCTCTGATTAAATTGGATGAGGAAGAAGACAGTGAAAAACGGTGAAGAAAGGAGCAGAAATGTGGTGTTTTGAAACATTATATAGTGGTTTTTTTGTAAATAAAAGGAAGTGCGAGGATAAAATGAGGATATCATGTCAATTTCATTAATTCAAAAGCCGAAAGCTGCCACGGAAGTAAAAATTGGAGAGCTTTCGGCCTTTACAAAGAAAAAGTAAGAAGCTGAGCTTCTCAAAAGCTGCAGCCACATTAGGAAGCTACCTCGTTTGGTGTGGCTTGTGCTTTTAGAGCCAAAAAGCTCTTTCCACAATCCACGCCAAACAGGCACTTAGTCTGATAAATAGTGATGGAGCTAAAGCTGATCGGAATCAGAACGTGATAAAATCAAATAAGTACGGGGAAAATAAATTAAAACACTCTTGACAGGTGTTTGGCTTGACACGATTTTGTTGTCCCTAAATTGACGATTTACCCCATTGCCAAAGATTTCTCAGTTCTTCGTCAAATTTTCATTAAACTTTGCCCCAAAAAAAATCAAAACTTCATTAAATTAATTAACTTGCCAAAAAATTTTTTATCATACTAATGAACATGACATGATCGTTGGCTTAATGCAATATGCATGGGTGTTTTTTCTCGGGCCAATAGTAAGCTTCATTCTCGTGATAACAGTCAAGATTGTTTTTTAGGCAAATGATCTAAATAATGTATTAATAATCTCTTTTAAATGAAAATAAAAAATTATAAATTTAAGTTATTAAGTCTAAATATGAAGTGGATTAAAAAATAAGAAAATGTTTTTTAATATATATGATAATGAACTATATAAAATAATATAATAATTTTTATTTTTAAAATTTTTTTTCATTCAACTTAATATTTAAATTTTAAATCTCTAAATTAAAATCTCATAAGACATATAATAATAGACTATAAAATATAGTCATTCTTTTCTAAAAATCAAGTTATTATTTGAATTTCAGACTTTTGAATAAAACAGAGGAAAAGTTCCAGAAATCTAAAATTATTTTCCATGTGTTGTTGCTTTTTAAAGTGGTCCATGCTGAAAATGGCATCATCTTATCGTCTGCATTCAATGGGGAATCAGTTCTTTTGTAATTTGCATACCACTT